ACGTAAATTTTACCCTTTCTGAGATATTTAACATTTTATATCAAAAATGACATTTGCAGACCGAAAAATATGTATAAACATTATTCCCATATCGAATTCTTTAAAATGTTACTCTATTAATTTAACCCATATAGTTACTAGACATATAGACGCCCTACCTATGCTAATAGTATAGGAACTTGTAAAGCAACTATGTAACAAAATTTTGAGAAGGTCTGGTCAATGTGCGCGTGCGCGACATTTGAAATTTCGTTTTTAACCAATGGCAGCTCTAATTGCATTTTCTGACGTTCGACCCATAAGGCTTGCGGCTTCCAACAACCAACATGGCCGCTGGCAGGTCGTCAATGTTTAGAAGCTGCATTTTTACAGCAGTATTTTCTCAAAATATGTCGAAATCCCATTAAATTTTCAACCAAAAATGGAATTAAGGTGTAAAAAATGCTAAATTACAGCACACGGATCGGCGTCTTTAGTATAACTCTTTACGGAAATGTGGCAACTCAGTTAGTTGGGGGTGACGCTTGCGCAAAAGGTCCACACCTTCTCTACGAAAATATCATAGTCACCTGCGGCGCATCACTTTTTACCATAGTAGGGATACTATATTATCTTATAGCTATATGATTTCACCTGTTCCGCAGAACAATTAAAACGAAATAGAAAAAACTGTTTTTTTTTTTCAAAACCATCTATATTTATAAATCTATCTTATTTAGAATTAAAAATTAGGGCATTAGGTTGTATATTCCGAATATTTATAGTTGCCGAGATATAGCTGTTTAGTTCTCGTTTTTCTTTCCTTTCCGAGTTAACCACGACAATTGCGACATAAAAAATCTTATCAATAACCATATCATCCAAACCAAATAATTATGCACACGAAGATTATTTAAATTTGATTATTATTTATTTATTATTATTTTAACGGGAACATACGCTGGCAATTCGTTACCCCCAAAAACAGAAACCATCACTACATGCAGTTAGAAAGGTTATAGAAAATGTGAGATTTCACTATAAATATTCTAAATAATCCAAAGTAGTCCTAATTTTAAATTTTTAACAAGATAAGATTATAATTTCCATTTGAAAAAAAAAAGATTTTCTCCAGTTTTTCAATTTTATTTTAATTGTAATTTTTGTTAACATCCTGTATTACTAATAACTGAAATTATTAACTAAATATGTTTAATAGACCATTTTCTAAAGGGTAAGGTAATAAATTATATATGTAAGGAATAGAAAATTTACCGATATTGTTCGTTCTGCCAACGTCATTTTTGACATAAAATGTTAAATATCTCCGTATGTCGAGAATTTTAAGGGGGACTCTAAGTAGCAATAGTATATAGGCCAGTATTTATAAATATTCTACAATCATCCTGCGTCAGTTGTTGATAAATCGAACCTGCTGACGTTTCGCAAATCATCATGTTGGTTTCTTTAGAGCTTAAACTGAAACTGGTTTGCTATTTAATCTGCACCTGCTTATATACTGTTTGAGAGGCGGAGCTAAAGAAGAGGAGTAAACATTGTTTCGAATGACTGATTCTCATATTGAAAAAAAGTAAAGACTTAAGAATGTTGTTTCGGGAATTTCCTTGAATTATCGGTTTTTTCTTTGGTAGAAGAATTGAATACATACAAGACTTTTCGTTTCGGTCGAATAAGATTTGATATCCAGTTTCATGATTATGTTCGACAATTGGTGATGAGTTTATTTTTGTCGTGGTCTTAAGGTTCTGCATGTTCTTTTACAGTACTTTTTATAGAACTTCTGGATTCCTCCTGCGTCGGTTTTTGTTGAGCTAGTTCGACTTAATAAAAACCGACGCAGGAGGAATCCAAAAGTTTTATAAAAAGTATTACAGTAGCCTGTGGAAGTTTCTTTGAAAAATTCTTTTACAGTAGTTGATATTTCTCGCCCTGCATGAAATGCTGTAAACTCCTGGTGTCTCAAACGGAATTGTGTTTTGATGGACCGAAGATCTTGAGAGTGGTAAATCTGGTTGTAACATTATATTTCTTAATAACTGTGGTGGTCAGTAATGTTTTGATTGTAAGGCAGGGCTACAGTAGCAAGTGTAGGGTTGCTTTCGGACAAATTTTCTTTGGGACATTGTGGTGAAGTGTTTGTAATGGGACGCTTAGTATCTCTAATGGTAAAACATATGTTAGGGTGGTGTACAGAGATTAAATGGTAAAAAAAAATCTTGGAGGGATTCTTGCCACAGGGCCAAATAACATAAGTGTCGTCAACGTAGCGTCTCCATAGTTTTGGTTTGGATGGAATAAGTATATTTGCAATGACTGGTGACAATGGAGAACTCATAGATGTTCCCGATATTTGTTCAGAAATTGGATCGCTATAAGGTGCTCCATTTAAAATAAAAATGTTAACCCCTACTTCCAGTACATCCGTATGTACCGCCATCTTGAAAATATTTTACACGGGATTAGCCCTATCATTTCATTTCAGATTTCATAACAGATCGACAAAACATTGAAAAATAATATTAAACAATCTCTTGCTTGAAAAAAAAACAATCCCCATTACTATCCGTGTCACTCTAATTAGAATTCGCTTCATAAAATGCAAATATTCCATTGCCGGATTTCTATCTCATTATATGTGAATTGAATGGACGACAGACTAAATCCGCGTTTTCCGTAGGATAAATATTCTTTGATAAACATATGAAAATAAAATGAGTTTATGTCAATAACTGGTATCGAAATACCTAATACGGACAATGCGCAAAATAATGCGATCGGGACAGATTATTGCTCATGACCCGATTGCGGACGGGTTTGCAAATACCAAAAAACGCTGTTTATCCTCTCTAAAAAAATGGTCGCTCCTTAAGGTTAGTGTTTACAATGATATAAGCATATAATAATAACGCACGATGCGTCCTCTAAAGGCACTTAAGAACCTGACCTTCCGCACTTGTGCGTAAGTCAATGTTTTTTCTTTGTAAAAACCAGCAGAATACTCTAAAATTTAAAATCCTTACGTTTAATAGAGGCGAAAGAATCTTAAAGTCATACGGATAATATAACGGTTTGTTTTCGATAAACTCTTAATGTTTTAATTTCCATAGCCACACAAAAATAAGAAAAGGCTACACTTTTTACTTTGCACATGTCGTTTTAAATGATCATGAGGTTTTTAATTTTGAGTTTTCGAAAAAATATTATTGGAAACACGTGTTCGGGATCTGTTGTAGAGTAGATTTTATTGAACTTACCTAAGTGATGACTATCTACATAAAACGTACTCCTTACTTCATCTAAGGTCATATATTTGTGAACCTGCAAATAAGAATCGTCAAAAATATATTATCCTCAATAAGGAAGAAAAAATTATATGTTGACAGAAACAACAAAACAACCGACATTTTTATCGATGTTTCTTTGAACAGGGAGAGGTTTATGCACTACTTATAGAAAATACATATCGAGTCTACCGTAGAGCAAAAATAGGGTTAAAAGTTCTAAATATAACTAAATTATAGTCAATGACAATATTCGTAGTGAGTCAAATCGCTATTTTTTGTCATTCTATATATCTCTGTAATTTTTTTATTCATTAAACTTAATTAATTAGACATGAAATTTCAAATAGGAGTAAATGTAATGTGACGAATATTGGGCATTATTTGCAAATGCTGGTATTTATACAAAACCTAATCGAAAAATGCGACTGACGGACCAATGGGGACAGTGCAAAATTTATAAAATTTACAAATATGATTGTTAGTTGATATGCATTTATAAAAGATGTAATGTGCACTGCGTCCTCGAATAGACTAGATTATATGCAGGAGGTTTATCAACTCAATCGATGCTCATTTTTTTGAAGGAACATCCTATACTCAGGATGTTTCAAAAAACGTGGTCCAACACTCGGATGAAGATTGAAAAATCCTTAATTTTCAAGATATGAGGTATTAAATACTAAAAAAATCGGATTTTTTGCAATATGTTAAATATTTTTTGTTTTGCTTTTCTAATTCAACTTCACTAAAAGGTTTTTCAATTGGCGCGGGTCGATTTTAGGGGTCCGTTGAACGTTTTATTATCAAAATGAGTATTCAATAGTGTAAACGTTGAGCGCATTCCGCCCATTTTACCGTAGACGTGGTGGCGTTTCACAGTCAACATGAGTCAACAACCGAACCTTCAAGAAACGCAAGATCAATCAAGAACATTATCGCGGAGGATGACAGTAAACAGCCTTTCGCAGATTTCAACTTGGCGAATTTTGCGTCGGTACTTAGGCCTACACCGGCACGAGATCCAACTGATCCAGGAGCTTAAAGATCGTGACCATTGGCAAAATCTTTTTTCACTGTTTGGGCTTCGATTTTTGATTAACTAACAAAATGGCTGGATATGGGACGACACCAAGCGACCTAAAGTTCGCCAGCTGAAGATGCATCCTCAAAAAATTAGCAATTGGTGTGGAGATTGTACCTTTCCGAAAACGATGGGGATAATGAGGTCACCCTGAACGATAACAAAATTCAATCATATAAACCTAGACGATAACCAGCCGAAGCGGGCCTTTGAATGATTTCATATTTGATACTTAATGGCACATATCAGCCTTTGAAATAAAACAAAATATGATAATACCCTATACACCTTTTGTTTTATTTTATTTGAGTATCTACCTGTCCCCATTGCAAAACCTTTTTGATTAAAATTGAAAATTATGAAAAACGCAATTTTGTTGACCATTTATTTTTTGGACTCTTTGGCCACAATAAACTTAGTTCTATAAAATTCACACCAAGACAAATGCTGAAAATGACCACAATCAGCTTAATTGCAGTCATGTGGCCCATGACGTAAGGTAAGATTTCGCCCAACCATTTTTATTAACGTTTATATGAATTCTTTTTCTATAACAAATCTCCAGCTGAGCGTTGGCGTATGTTTTTTGAAACTGGTGTTGTTCGTCAGCTGTACAAAACTGCGATGATATCACTGTAATAATTTTTTCTTGTAAAGTTTTAAATGCTGATAATAATGGTCGACTCGCACTCCGATCTATATTGTATAACTTGTATATATGGCTCAATAACGAACAGTCCAGTAATTGTGCAACGGTCGAACTAAGAACGCATCCGTAGTTTGATTTCCCCGAAAATATATCTAATAAAACATATACCACGTAGCATCAGCATCAGTCACTTAGATATCCAAAGACGTCAACTTAACAATGCACATAAATAATTTGGAATGACCTGTTGCTTTGCTTTTTTAAAAGTCTGTGAAACAAGATCTTGTATGGGCGATTGGTTTCACTACAAAACGGAGAGAGAAAACGAAACTGAAAATTTAAGTTGTTGTCAAACCAAATTCGTATACGAACCACGGTATCGACGCCTCGCTTCTCCAGCACCCAGCGAATCGAAAGTTATGCCGAATGACCTTGAAATGTCTCAACAAAGCAATTGGTCCTATTAACTGTTATATCATTACATGAATATGAAGTGGTTACTGAAATACTGTTAATAAAATATGTACAACTTTTACGTCTCAAAATTGAAAAAAAAACTGATCCGAATATTTACAAAAAATCCAGATTTTACACTCCTATTCAGGGAATATATAATTTTTTTACTGCATAGTTAATCTTTTTTTTTTCTCTCAAAGATACTAACCTATTCGGCGTTCATGTGAACGGAAATATAAAAACATTGATACGAAACATTTTAATCGACTAAACGAACTGCTTTTCATTTAAAATCCGAATAACATGTGATATATATAACAAAGACAGTCTACGAATGTATAGTTTGCTTACAGTAAACTTAAACTCAGTAACCCGAACAGCAGTAGTTTAGAGCACAAAAAACCATTTATTCGTTTTTCTGAAGGAAACCTGAATTGGCATCGTTTTTCGCTAGCTACCTCTGTAGGGTATGTATTAGAATTTTTATAGTATATTATGTAACAACAAGCTTGATAAACGCCATTTCAGTCACTAGTTTGGTTTGGCACGTGTTCCATACCATATTTTCTACAATCATCAGTTTTTCGGTATATTTTTGCAAAAAAAACCAATACATTCACTGACATGACCAATTTTACCAAATTCCATATGTGCTTAGTGCCGTATAATTTTTTTACTTATATCTTTTTGCTTGTTAATAAGATAACCGAGGGAACAGTTAAGAGTTTAAAATTTAAATCAAAAATTTTAGACTAATTTTTATGGATTTTATAGCTGAAATTTGAAGAAACTTTAACAATATACCAAATTTTAAAGTAAAATTTTCATCTAAACAAAGTTACAATCATTTGTCAAGGACATTGACGTTTTCCAAATACGAGTGATGTGTTTTTACTAAACTAACTATTGAAGTCCTAAAAAACTTTTCAATTATGGAGAAGTAATTTTCCTAACGCTTGAAGTGTGCTTAGTTTCAATAGCGATCCCCGTCACAATTATCTAAATTACGGCAGAAATGTATTCTATTTATCGCTGTCTCAACAAATATCTACGAGAAATTATTAAAATAATTATTATATAAATATTTTCAATGATTTTGAATTGCGACAGAAAATAGTTGCAACTAACAAATCAATCATTGTTCATTGTGGATTTAAAAATATGAAAATTTGTGTTTTTTTCACACTTTCTTGTAAGAACTTCGGTATTGTAAAACAACGAAATTTTATGTTATCATTTTTATAGTCGGTCCTGCCAGCAATGTGAGAAATTCCCTACTCTGCATAATGTCACATTCAAAAACGATTTCAAAAGCTTCCGGGGATCTTGGCTATGTAAACGTACGATGATTGCCGATAAGCTTAAAACGATATTTTAAAAATTAACTTCCTGTATCCTTTTAGACAATATTTTACAAGTTGCTTGCCGGGATAAACAACATTTAACGATAAATGTGAAGGTCTGCTTTGTCTGCCAAATGTATATTTGCTCATGTTGCTTTCTGCATACGAACATTTTCGTAATTTTTTTGAGTCTCCAATCTTATGTTTTGTGTTCTCATTTACATTACAATTTCCTCATCCGTTGCCTTTGTGATCATTTGTCCTTATGTGTGTCTTTGAAATTTTGTGTCTTTTATTAAAATTTGCAAACCATTTTTAGTGAAAAAAAAAAACCTTATGTAGACAAAATTGGAGTGCGTACAAAAAAATATGTTTTCTACACTTTTTCTGCCTACGTGTCTTTGTTATTTTATATATGTTTATATATTATAAGAACAGAACCAACACACCTTTTTTTGTCTCTCGTTTCACTCGACGCGGTTGTTTCTGTGTACATATAGCATTGTAATGTCATATATATATATAAATAAAATCCTCATAGTTTTTAACATTTAATTAACTTGCGACTATCAATATGTATGTAATACAAATGTTTTTCCGCAATAAAAAATACTCACTTCGCAGGTTGTGTTACGACAGAAGATTCCGAAGAAGAATACCAACATGATTGTCTTTGCCATGGCTCTCCTGCAATAAAAGTTCAAAATTATGCATGCAACAACAGGGCAAACAGTATAAAGAAAAAAAACTTCTTTTACTCACGAAACGAAATGCAAAAACAAACTGAATGTTTTAAGTTGTTGCTTTTATGGTTGTAATATTTTTACAGCTTTGGAACCCAAGAATAAATAAGAAAATTAATAAATTTTTACGAAAATTAATGATTTGCAGAAGTACAAACACAGTCATTTAATTGATAGAATGTCATTCCATCCATGTACCGAAAATTGCGCTTCGAAATATACAACAAAAACTATTCTGTGCTAATATATTAAACTATTCACCGCTGAACAGGGGCAACAGATTATTAAGAGTCTCATATAGATTTTTTTACATATAAAAAAAAAATATTTTTAATTTAGATTTATAAATTTAGTTATCAGTAGGCACTCTTATATTGTCAGTAAATATTGTTGTGTAGAGCAGTATCAATACGAGTAAAATGAAAAAATACGAAACTTCAACTTTACTTGATGAAAATCCATTTATTAAAATAAATAAGAATTAAAAGTTCAGATTTTCACGAAAGTATATATTTTGACATGACAATTGTTTCGAGAACACCGTGTAAGACACCGTTAAAGACACGGTGTTCTCGAAACAATTATCATGTCAAAATATTTATTTATTTTGAAAAATTACGAACCCTGGATAATTGTATAATTGCGTATTTTCGATTAGGGAGTAGAAATAGTATAATATGCAACAAGTGTGGTAAATGGCATTTAACTTTTTTTTAAAGAAACTTCCACAGGCTCCTGCTATTTACAAAACTTCTGGATTCCTCCTTGATTTATTAACAACGGACGCAGGAGGAAGCCAGAAGTTTTGTAAATGGCATTTGACTTAAAAATTTACCAAACGTGTTCCTACTATACTTTTTATACCACCGTTAGTTTTTCGGTACACTTTTGTAAAATCATCAGAATTGACATACGTCAAAATTCAAACCGTGCGAAATAGCTCAGAAAACATCAGATTGCTCCCAAACCTGTGCGGTAATCCCGAAAATGTCCGAAATAGGTCGGATCCGTAGGTAACGAAACTGACATGGTAAAATGACACATTTCGCACGCTAAATCGATATATAATTGGGTATTTTAGAGAAGGTAATCGAAAAAAAAATATTTAAAATAATAATTTAAAAATTTTGACAGTTTGGTATTTCTTAACATCATACATCATATATCTATCATTCTATCAAACAGCTTTAATTTAACGAAATTAGCAAGTTGTGAAGCTTATGTCAAAAAAAAAACTTGAGGAAAAGTAGAAAAATTTCCAAATTCTAGCAAATGAACGGAACAGACGTGAATATTGCAAAAATCAGTTATTTCTTCATTAGCAACCAAAAGAAACATTTCTTCAATTTACTTTCTATGATTTATAAAATTAATTTAAAATTATATAAAATATCAAAAATCCCACAAGTTAAAGAAAATAATTCCTTCGCTTCTAATTTTGTAAAAACCCGCAGTGATATTTTACTTTTACCAAAACATTTCTAAGAAAGTTTTTAAAACAAGCCGATATATTTAATGACTAGAGATTATCACAATATTCATTTTTCACACATGAATGTTATGCCATTAAACAATGGGTCCAAAATAATCTACCAGGTTAAAAAGTCTTGCCAATCAGGTTTGTATGCAAATTTTTGGTTAACAAACACCTGTAGTTTTTACGTAACGTAGCGGAAATTAACGGTATTTGTTTTAAATGGTAACATTTTTCAAATAACTTGATGTGCTAGACAAATGAGATTCTAAAGAATGACTGTAATACACCGTACCACTGGTTAAACAATAACAGTTAATTTCAATTAAAATAATCGACATTCACGGTAATCATTACCTTTTAACGCAGTAGTAGTAGTGGTACCATATAGTGTGTATCAAAAGAAATGCGAAAAACTTAAACGGTAATATGTAGTTGAAAATAAAGGAAAGTTTAATGTATAGAGGTTGAGCCAAAAGTCACCAATTAGGAAGATATCACGCTACAGATATGATGGAAAAATAAAGTTTTTACTTATTATCTTAAAGACCAAAAATTTTATTATTTTAATTAGAATTGATTAGAATTCATCATAACTAAATTTAAGGCTTGGTAATTTTCATGAAATAAATACAAGTGACAAAAAATGTCTAAATAAACATAGCTATCAATTTTTTTATAATTTTTTAATATATTTTTCTCTTTTGGTTTTTAGGATAAAAAATAAAAAATTTTTGATTTAATATTTGGTCAAGCAATTTTAAACCAACAAGGTCTTGCTATAAATCAATGAAAATACATTTTTTGCATTAAGGAACAGTGACACAACTTTGGCATACAATACCGTCAATATTAAACAAGGAAAATAATGACTAGGCCAGAAAAATGACACTGGCCGCCATTTATTCAGACATCATTTTACTTGGCGAGGATCTGAATCAACAATTAACCGTTCACAGTTAGAGCTAGAAGAAAAAACAAGTAGATCAATGGATAAACACCACCTTATTTTTTACTACTGGATCCTTCTATCCAGGTATAGAAAACAACGAACGTCGTAGATTAAATTTTTTTTAAATTTCAAAGAACCTAAGGAATACGTTTTGTTGAAAGTTGGTATTTTGCACAACAACATGGAAGATTCTTGTTCCAACCGGTCGATCGCAGGTATTCGAATCAACAAGTTTTTTTATTATGAAAAAGTATTCAGTAACGACTTCATAAATTATGCATTATGTAACAATTCGCGTGGTGTAATCAATACCCGCTATTTTCCATTTAAATATACAGAGTCTCTTAGATAAAATGGAGGAAGTTTTTTTACAAATGTTGGTATTTGATATTGTATGTAGATTAATCTGAAATGTTTTCAGCTGCTTTCGTTTTTTTTTTGCAGATTCAAGCGTATATATGGTGTTGACTGCGTCAACACGATTGACCAACCACAACCTAAGTTCTACGGAATGGTAATTTATAGGGCTTACTGGAAATTTTTGGCATATATTCCAAATGATTAATTTGTCTTTTTCGTGTAATTGTCATCCAATTATATTATTTTCTTTGGAACAAGATCTCTTTTTGGGTCATTACTGTTTTTGGAGGCTTAAGTTAGATTTATACATATGGTTACTGCTAATTTTTTCTCCAACTTCTTTAAAAATGATGTTTTTTTTTAAACTTTCATAATTGAATATTGATTATTATTGCGACAATACATTTGGATATATTTAATTATTTTAACTCTACAATTACAAATTACAAGACAGGCAGAAAACTCCAAGAAAAGAAAGATTGCTTTATCGAAGGCACCGCATCCGCCTTCTCCGTCTCCTCTTTTCTAGAGAGAATATGAACAATAAAACCGTTGCTGCAACAGCAAACCAAACCCTACACGAAATAACAGAGGAACGACTGTATAATTAGCAGCTTCCGGACCTGTAAAGCAGCATTGATTGATGGAGTTATTAAAAATAAAATGACTTATTTTGATTTTTAGCTGCTTGTGCTATTGGCGATTTAGTTTTCTTGTGCTTATTTTTTGTACAGGTGTTTATATATTTTAAATAACTTAACATTTTAGCCACAATAAGAAACTTTCAAAAGATAGGTTTGAGATATACGAGAGACTATTACTATTACGGCCTATTAGACTAAACTTTATTGCTTAAGCATAAAATAAGGGTCTTCTTCAAAACGGCTTTACAGGGTGGATAATTAAAAAGTACACTTGCTGTTGAATTAAAAACTGAGGTTAAACTTAAATTAACTACCAAAAACACATTTGATTTAACTTTGGACGTATTGGTATATAATAGGTCACAATTGGGATATAAAATGTTAACTAATTTGCTGCTTATATTATTTTCACAAGCTTAAAATTATTTAAAAATTTTAAGCGCAACAGCTTAATCTAAAAGGCAGCTTTTTGATCGTGTAGAATCCACTCAAATATTTCCTTCCCTAAATAGGCGAACATACAGCGTCACAATACTCTCAAGTATATTGCAAGTAGTATTTCGAATACTGGGAAAAGTGCCAGACAAAAACCAAATGCGTATAGGTAGGAAATAAGCCATGCGTAATTGTGTCAAGTTCTCGTTTGAAATCTGTGAACAAAGCGTAAGTTTAACGGAATTTCAAGTGAAGGCCATAACTTGAGTATAACGGCAAGGTGACAAAGCGCAGTTCTTTATTTATCGAGTTGAAATCCAAAATTTTCCCAATTCTTGCGTTTATTTCAGCCACATTACACAACTTTCCCGACTTGCTCCACCAATTAAGCGATTCCTCAAGATTTATTAAATTTAAGCTGGTAATTTCATCAAGCGCTTGTTCAAATAATTCTCCAACGTATTACGCGAAACGTTATACCTGAAACACATAACATTCAGAAAATTAACGGATATTTTATAGTGGGAAAAACCTCAACGGACGCAAAACAAGCTTACCGCATGTATCTTGATCATAAAAAACGAATCGGAAAGATTTTGGAATTTCTTCGAATCTCTATTAAATAAATTTTGTTAAATTAAACAAGATATCCAATTTCAAAACGAACAATGAAGTTTATGTAAGTAGTAATTTAATTATTATACAGTGTGTCTGGTACCGTTACCAGCATATTTTTAAATAAGTATTAGTAATTTTCATTATCTTTAGTTTCGTAGTAAAAATTTATAGTAAAAATACGGGCGGAAATATTGAAAATTAATATTAGATATTTGGGTTATATTCTAGAAATCATATAACAGGACAACAAAATTGCTACATGTGCGTAAACTAGAAAGAGACAGATTGATCTTATACGTCCACAATTTGCACTATTGTATTAGTAGCAGTGTAACATGTTTTTAACGATTTCTAAAAGTGATATAAACACTGATATGAATACGATAATATAAAAGAAAGTGCAATTTAAAGAAGATCAATTTAGTATAATAATATTCGGCAATTACTGATAACGGTAAATA